GAAAGTATATACTGCCTTTGGTAAGTCCTGAGACCCAACTTACCTAAATTTTATTTTTAGCAAAAAAAAATGCTCATAGGGAATTTTAAACCATTTTATGACATAATTAAAAAGAAGGGTCTTGGAGATAATGGCGCATGATATTATGTTTCATATAAATTTTTTATAATGATAAATCTTAAGAAAATTAACTACAACTAAAATTTCACTTTTTTTTTTTGTTGGTTGAGTCCAGGTACTCACTATCAATAGCAATAACTAATTCCCTCATACTTAAACTTTTTAATAGGGCTTTAGTACTAGCCACAATATCCTCTCCATACAATGAGTTAGAGCACCGGCTTAGTAAATTTTTACATTTTTATATATACAGTAGTTAACTATAACTATGAAATAAAGTGTTTTAATGTATTTTTACTTATATTGTTCCATATCAAGTACTACCTCCAATTTTTAATATAATAACTAGTTGAGTAATTTAAGTAAATTAAGAAAATTAATTAAGTTAGTTATTTATAATGAATAGATGTTGTCTTCCTTAAAATATCATTACCAATTAAGTGTATTAGTTAGAACTACCATTTGATGAAACATTTAACATGTGCAACTATTACAAGAACTACCTTAAAAAAATAAATAAATGTTAAAAAAAAGTAAATTGTGGTCTTCTATTTAAGACCAAATTGAATGTTAAACTAATTCTTATGATAAGGACTGGATGTAATACTTTATAAAAAATACTCCTTTAGTCCTAAATATAAAACTCTTTTTATAGTATAATTTAAGTATTATATTTAGAACTCGAGAAGTGGTTCATTTGTGCTAAAACCTTTTATTATACTTATTCAGTCTTTTTTTTTTTTCATTTGAAGTCTTGATCTTGAACGGATTATTTGTTTATATAGTTGTGCTAAAATTATATTAATAAAAATGATAAAAACATGGAATTAGTTCTTACTGCAGGCGAATTAAATGAACTCGATCAGCAAGATAGCTGATATACTTTATTTATCTCAAATAAGATAATACATATACACATAGACATATATATATATATATATATATCTTCATATTTGCTTAATCCAAATAACTTAAATGCGATGAACAACAGGAGGAACAGGCGGCACAGGAGGAGGAATGAGCTCCATGCAGCAATTACACCAGCCACCCCAGCATCTGCTGTACAATTTTGGACATTTCTTGTGTTCTTCCACACATGCTTCCTCACATTCATTATCCCAAAAGCATGTTACTTCCCTTGTTTGCCCTTTTGCCGCTCCTATTATTCCTTCACATATAACACATAACATCAAATTTTGATGAATTCCTACCTAAAAATTTGTATAAATGTTTGTAGGTGTCAACAGAATTCAGTATTACTAAATCAGATTCAAGCATTATCACGCCCTTAACCCTGTTGATGCGATATTTTCATTCAGTTAATTCCAATGAAACAAGTGAGAAAGAATTGACGAATTAAAAAAGTTAATAGTAGGAATGTTGATAATGAAAAACATAAAAGAGAATAATACATTATCTAAATCACGAAAAAAAACTATGATTATTAGGTAATTACATATAAAAAGAGCAGTTCTGAGAATGGTTCGGAACCTCTCTTCTCTTCCTATCTTCTTCCCTTTTCTTTCTTTTTTAACTTTTGGACTAATATTTTAACCATTCAGATTTAAATCTTTTTAAAATTATTACTAAAATATTAAGTTATAAAAATAAATAAGCAATACATTACAAACTATATTAAAATTTAATTCTAATAATTTGCAAATAAACTAAGTGTTTTTAAAAAAATTTTATAAATAGTTTATAAAAAATTAAAATCTAAACTATTGAAATATGTTAATCTACTATTGGTTAGAAAAAGAAAAGGAGGAAGAGGATAGTAAAAATGAGGAGAGTTTCCAAACCTTAAAAATATCCTTAGCAGAACTCTAACTACTCAAAAGTCTTGTCACAGTAACTTTGAAGTTAATGTCATTCTTTATTTTTTAAGATATATATATATATATATATATATATTGTTATCTACATTGCTACTATTCTCAAGGAAAAAAAAAAACTCAAATATTGTAGAGAGAGTGGTGAGTCACCAGCTGAAACGACTAGAAACAGAACCACAAAGCAAGCCAATTTGACTGAAGTTATTCCCATTTTTGTTCGAGATTTTTGAAACATGTTGTGTTCGACTACGTATGCATCCCTCTTTTATACACACACATCTCAAGTTCGCTAATGGTAATCAATTATACAAATAAATATCAATCAATGAGATTTATAATTTAACTTAATATATTGCGAACAAATGAAGTATCGAATAAGGTAATATCAAAAACATTTACTGATCAGTGTAAATACAATAAATGTATATTGATACCTCAAACTTAATATATTGTCTCTTGAAATATTTTTTATGATCTCGCATTAACTCGATTGATTTGCAATTAGTAATAATTCAGGCAAAAAAAAAAGCAATTAGTAGTAATTACCTCATTAGTTCAAATCCATCCGTTTATTTTTGTCCGTCATTTAAGATGTTAGCAATTAGTAATAATGATGTTATTAAGGATGTGTTTGGTATGAGAGATTTGGAAGGGAGGGGAAGGGAGAAAGATTTTAATCATTTTCTCTTGTTTGACAACACATAAATTGTAGGAGGGGAGGGAAAAATTTTTAAAATTTTTCATCCCCTCCCCTTCTCAACCTCCCCTCCAAAATTGGGAAGATTTAGAGAAAAAAGATAATATTTTGTCATGTTATGACCATTATACCCATATTTTGTCATATTATGACTATTATGCCCATATTTTGTCATATTGTGACCATTATGCCTATATCTTAAATAAAATAAGGACAAAATTGTTCATATTAAAATATTTTTCCCTCCCCTCCCCTCATGAACCAAATAAGGTAATATTAAAACTCCTCTCCTCTCCTTTCTTTTTATAAATCCAAACAAAATAACCCCTTCCTCTCACTGAACCAAACAGATCCTAAAGGTGGGTATGAAGAATATTCCATAAAAGTGGTTATTCTCCTTAATTTTTTTTTTAATCAAAAATTGACTGCAAAAAAAAAATCCAATTAATACTACTATTTTCTCCTTAGTTGTTCGTCTCATTAAATAAGGATAAAATGAGCAAGGATATATTAAATGAAGGGGCATATAACATTTCAAATTTTTAGTTAAGTTATTTAAAGGTGGTGATGGAGGATTAATCTAGGTGAAATTGAAATTGGGAAGAAAAAATTAATAATAACATTTAATTAAACTAAATTATTTCAATAATCATAGATAACTTATTTGATGTATCACTGAAAGTTTAAGAATTTGGGAAGAAAAAAATGACACAGGATAATTTATTTTGGCAGCTTATAATTACTGAAAAGTTAGATCTCACAGTTATTGCCTTCATGTTTTCAGGTGACGAATTCGTTGAGGACTCAAAAGGGAGAAAGAAGGCCGAGCCTTTTACATGGCTTACAGGTTTAGGATTTCTGTTATGCTTTTGGGTTTATCTTGTGATTGCTTCACCACCATGAAACGTTTATGATATTCAACCCGGTCTTAAATATAAAAATTAGTTGCTTAATTTAAATAGATTAAGAAAAAAATTCAGTTAGTTATTTGTAATAAATAGGTATTATCTTTCTTAAAATATCTTTGCTAATCAAGTGTATTGACTAGAACTACCATTATTAGAGGGACTACCTTGAGAAAAAAATACATTAATATGAGAGATAAAGTGAATTGGGGGCTTAAATTTAGGACTAAAATAAAAGTCAACTAATGTCTTATATTGAGGATTAGAGGTAGCTCATTTTATAGCTATTTTAGAGAAATACAAGTTTTTCCCCTCTAAAAGTCTGGGTGAGTTAGGTTCTGGAGGTTCATCAAGATATGCTTCTAGGCTCAAAAAGCGTTTACAGAGGTATTTATATAATGCTTACCAACAAAGTCCTTTTCACTTATGATCTTGAGAGTTATGAACCAACTCTTTTACTAATTGGATCACCTCTTATCGATGAAATGCAAGTGGTTTTTTAGCTTATTTTTTGGAGTGAAAATATGCTGAATCTACCTCACTTCAGCTAAAGTGATTGGGAGAATTACGATCAACTCTCAAGAAAGAAGAATAGTTACTAAAAGATCTTAATAATAATCTGAACAGTCTATAATGACAAGTTTTAGAGTGATGAGTGACAATCTGTGAGATTTTTTTTGTAAATTTTTTTTTCTTTTTTAAAATCTCAGTAATTTGCCCGAAGTGATTTATTGAGAGTACGCAGTTAAATCAAGGTGGTTTTATTGGTCCAACTGTTGGTCCCATTTTATAACTCACAATTGTCTGGGCTTCAAACGCGCTTAGACTGCTTTCAATTTGTCCCATTAGTGGTAAATATAAATACCTCCCTCAATTAAGAAGTTAATCGTTTGCTCACCATACTGTGATGGACAGAGGCTAGGGTAATCCCAATTAACCCAGTACATATTAGTCATCCTTCTGACTTTGTATAATACATGGAAAAGTGTGACTAATTAATTATTTTCTTTTCATTCACATGTTCATCGAGATTTGCTTGCTATATTGCGATTCCCAAAATCATTTATGACTCAGTATACCATTGATTAATAGCATCTTAAATTTAAAGTTTCTAATCTCCCTACCACCCAAAAAAAAAAAAGTTTCTAATCTCCCTACTTTATAAATAGAACTAGATAGGTATTATATTTTTAACATAATTCTTATTAAATTTAAGTTTAGATTTTTTTTTTTAGGCATAACTATTTCAGGAAAGAAAAAACAAACAAAAAAAGATGGAACAAACCCATCAAGTAGTCAAATAATATACATAATCCCGATATAAAGTTAGTTTAGTACAATTTTTATTAATTCAAAAAGGTCAGTAGTAACTCAGCATAAAAAATTGTGTATCGCTCTACTTTTCTATGAAAAGAAAAACAATAAAAGAAGAAAGCTGAGTCGTCACCTGGCGTGGGAAGCAAGTGGAACCAATTCTGACAGAGGAGTGGCCACCGGCGTCGGCACCGGCGATGGAGCAGGAGAGCTCCGACACAGGGGACACGTGGCGCTCAGACGAAGCCACTCATCCAAGCAGCCCACATGGAAGCAGTGGTTGCACTCTGGAACACACCGCACCGTATCATTCTTCACGTACTCTCCCAAGCAAATAGCGCATGGGCCCCCATTGGGCCTCGGTAATCTCCGACTCTCCCCAAGCACAATCTTTGGGTAACCTTCAATCGTGGGCTTATCCAAACCCAAAACCACCACCACCGGCTCATCCGAAATATTATTACCACTGCTATTACTACTGATACGACGGTTATGGCTGCGGCCGTTGGCCTTCATCCGAACACAAGCATAAGAAGCAAGCATGATGGTAGAAATGAGGACGAGAATGCTAACCGCGATGGCGATGCCGTATCCGAGGCTGGTGCCGGTGGAGGAGATGGGCGGGTAGGCAGGGGACATGAGAGAGCAAGACTCCGTATCGGCAGTCGCGGTAAGATGTATGACGCAAACGTTATCTAGAATTATGGGGCAGGTGTAGGTGGCTTTTTAAATTTGCCGTCGAATCTTAAAGCTCAATCTTAGGGCCGGGGGGCATGAGAGAGCAAGAGAAAGAAGAAGAAGGAGAAGAAATGAGGGAAGGAGAAGGTTTGGGGTGTGATGGAGAGGGAGAGTTTATAGTGACTTTATTGAAGGAGGTGGGAAGACAGTTGGGGCGGTGAAGGACACACCGGATTCCGCGGGAAAAAAATTAAATGGCTTTGGGAATGGTGACATTGACGTTCTCTTGTTATTTTACATTTGTGATCGATGCTTCCATTAATTACCAATGTTTAATATATTTTGAGCGAGGAATATTTTAATTTAAGTTGGTTAGGTATACAAAACAATGATATACTCTTCTGATCCTATTTATAAGGTATTTTCAGCATATTTCACATAGATCAAAGAAAACCTTAAACTTTATTAACTCTCATTTAAAATTTAATAACTTTCCAACTTTATTCCTATTTAATATACATTATACTTCATGTAAACAAAGTCAACATAATAATAAATGAGGGGTAAAATTGTGTATTCATACAAAAAATTTCTCTCAGTGCCCTATAAATAGGACCAAAAAAAGTTTTCTCTCTCCACCTTATAAATAGGCCCAGAGGAATACCACCTTCCACTCTTTAATATAAGAGTTAGTTAGCTAATTTGAGTATATTAAGAAAATTAGCTATGTTAGTTATTTATAATAAGTAGATGTTGTTTTTCTAAAAAAATATTTTTACTAATCAAGTATATTGGCTAGAACTATCATTATTGTAAGGAGTAATTTGAAAAAAAATAAATATAATATATAAAATAAATTAAGGTTTTATATTTAAAATCAAAATAAAAATTAAACAAAGTCTTATATTAAAAATAGTATGTCATGAATGTTTTGTCCGTTAAAGATGTTTAATTATGTTATCTCTTACACGCGGGATGGATGCGTATGGATGTCATTGTGATTAGGGGGACAGAAAAGAAATATGGAAAAAACAATAAAATAATACATATTATTAACTCTGATTCTTAATATAAGAGTTAATTGATTAACTTGAATAAATTTAAAAAGTTTGTTGAGTTAGTTAAATGCAATAATTAGATGTTGTATTTCCTAAAATACACTTTACTAATCATATATTAGTTAAAACTGCTAATTGATTAAATATTTAACATGTGAACTACTATAAGGACTATTTGAAAAAAAGGACAAGTATGAGAGATATAATGGATTAGAATCTTATATTTAAAACCAAATTAAAAGTTAAATTAGCTCTTATATTAAGGGGAAAAAAAAGGCAGTATTTTTTTTCATTAGAATACTAATACTGCACTCTACCGCAATTTTGGTAATTATTTGACGTTAACGCTTTATATGCTTTGAATCATTGGCTGATTTGATGCCAACAATGTAATGTAATGTATCATAAGCTTTTGGGAAATAATAGGGATTGGTTATGGATCGTTAATTATCTTCTTCGTCGTGATTCGGGCTTCCGTTTCGCCGTTTGGATGTTTCCCTGGGGACGAGGGCCACTTTTTTACGACCAGAGTTTTTTCCAAAAGTTAATATAATTTTTCATCTTTTAAATTTGCCTTTTTAGTTCTTGAAGTTTTAAATAATAAATTTTGATTTATCAAAATTCTTTTTATTTAAAATATTAATACATACAATCTAACAAAAACTAGATTATTTTGCTTTCTAAGAGACTAAAATTTATGGTATGAAATTTGAGAAACTAAAACTAAAATAAAAATAAATTTAAGCGATTAAAAATTATATTAATCCTTTTTTTAATCCTCCAACTTTCAATAATTTTAATTAATTTTAAAAAATTAATAATCTTTTGGTTCTTCAATTATTGATTCCCTTATAATCCAATCTATTGATTATGACTACAGACACCGCCGGTCAATGGGATGCGTCTATTTATCTACTCCTCTGATTCTATTTATAAAACATTTTCAGTATGTTTCACATAGATTAAAAAAAAACTTAAATTTTATTAACCCTCATTTAAAATTTAATAACTTTTCAACTTTATCTCTATTTAATATACATTATACCTCATATAAACAAAGTTAACATAATAATAAATGAGAAGTAAAATTATACATGCATACAAAAAATTTCTCTCAATACTCTATAAATAGAACAAAAAAAAGTGTTCTCTCTCTGTCCTATAAATAGGACCAGAGGAGTATTTCTTAACTCAAAAAGGAGCATGTTTGAAAAAGTATAACTCAATCGTTTATCTTTTTATCTGTTATATTATTATCCTCGTCATTTATAACTATTTTCTTAGTCATCTTACATGCACAAATTGCTTCGAACTTAGAACATGGAAGGAACGGAGGTGGGGTCAGAAGAGGTGCAAGGAGGAGTTCAAATTAGGAGATGCAAACAAATTACTTGCGACCATTTCTTTTGTTTTGAATATATTCGTGGCTGGCTCAACCTCTATGGAAACAATACTTGTCCTATTTGTGGTTTTCGAATTAAAATCAGATGAAAAATTATGAAGAATTGATAAAAATAAATGACTATAGAGACTTAATTAAAAATCATATGACACTACAAGAATTTGATAGAAGAACAATGAAAATTTGATTAAACAGAGATTAAACTCTAATAAAATTTGATTCGAAGATTGAAATGTGCAGTCGAAAGAAAGTAAATGGAAAGAAGCCAAGACCGAAATGATGCACGTGTCCTGAGCAAACAAGATGGCGCAAACTGCAAAGTGTAATTGATACACGAGAGGAAAAGGAAGTTCTAATTTGACCATCCATTTGGGTCGCTTTAACAGAGTTCTCATTACCGGTACTTAATATAAAATATATATAACTAATTTGAAATAAAGAGATTAAAAAAAATCAGTGAAGTTAATTATTTAAAACATATGTGTATTGACTTTTTTAAACTATTCTTTTTAATAATATATATTAGAACTAGTCTTGGTGTGAGTCTCTTACGGCTTTTTTATCTAGATATGACAAACAATAAAAAAAAATTTACTCAGATTAGAGCTGGTAATGCTGGCTGGTAGTGTGGATATGCGCCAGTCCGTAGCAGTACAGGCCGAAAGCGGTGTGGGCTGAAGTAGCTGGCCTGGGCCTGCCTAAATTTTTTTAAAAAAATTAATATTATTTGTATAGATTGAGTGTAGTTCGTAATGTTGAAACTGGACTTGGAGTTTTAACCTTGAGTAGTAGGTTATAATAAAATAATGTGAGAATTAATTTATAATTTGAGAAGACATTTTAAAAAAACCAACACATATTTTTTCTAAATAATTAATTTGACTTTTTCTTATCCAAATTAATTAAGTAGATCTTTTATATGTGTATTATATATGCAATTACATGAATGAGGAGATGTAAACGTGAAATTTAGGGTCAAAATCCTCCAATTATGTTGTATAATATATTAGGAATTGTATAAAAATAAAAATTAAAAAAAGAAAAAGAAAAGCAGACTAGTCCGCGACGAAGCGGATTGAAAACAGTGCGGGCTGGAGTAGTTTGCATCTTGGCAGGTTGGCATTTTGCCAACTTAAGTCCGCCATTTTTGGCGGGTTGGGTCCTTGTATTACTAGTTCTAACTCAGATGCTATAAGATCAAAAATATTTGCTCAAATACTACACTTGAAATCGTTCAGACGATGAACGAGTTTAAATTTGTACAGAAATCGTTCAGGCCAAGAACGAGTTCAATGGGATCCACATCACAAAATAATGAAAGTTGTTCTTGGTATGAACAACTTCAGTAGGACTTACATCACAGAATGGAAGTTGTTCTTGGTCTAAACAACTTTAGTGGGACCTACTATACACATTTGTCTTACACTCCACGTGAGTTTCATGCGTTTTCAACTTTTTTATTTTTGACCAGACTATACTTTTGCCTTTTCCAGCTACACGCAAAGTGTTCCTTCCTTCCCCAAATATTCCCATCAATATAGAGTAGTCATTCATTGTCTCTCACGCGTGAGTACTTTGTTTTGGCATGTGAGTGTATAGTATAAATTCTGTTTATATAAGGCATTTGGAATTCCCATTCATCAAAAGCCTTCTCCTCACTTCTCATATTCTTCTTTCTCTATATATAAGACATTCGCATGAAGTAGGTGAATACGTTTTATCTCAACTTCAATTCTTCGTATAATTCAATTCTTCTTTCTCTATATATGAGGCATTCGCGTGAAGAATTGAATACGTTTTATCTACAGCTCCTTCAATTCTTCTTTCTCCTTCCACACTTTCGCATGAAATTGGTGGTGTGTGCAGCCTTATAAATGTTGTATATGTTTTATCTCAACTTGAAACTTAATTTTGCTTCTAACTAAGGTACATTCTCTTAATTGATTTTTTTTTAAATTTTGATATGTATTTTGCTAAATGATGGATAAGAATTTTATATTTAGTCATTTTTACATGTTGAGTTTGTTTTAATTAAAAAATGTAGACATATAAGTAATTGTCATATAAAATAAATTGCAGTTTACTTTTTTATAATCTGATTAAATATATATCTTTTTTTTAGTAGATAGTGTTTGAGTAAATATGTAGTCAGTTTAAATATGTATTTAGTTAGATAATATTTGGTTGTGAGCATGGTAATCAAATTTCTCCTATGCCAGTCAGTACGTCATGAAAAATACTTGAATATTTAAATAAAAATTGATGGAATAATATTCCCAACTCATAAAATTTTAATATACAACGATAAAATTATTTTTGTTAAAATTACAAAAAATATTTATATCAAAGCATGCCTAGAAGACAGTTAAATTATTTAACTATAAAAATCTTTAAAATATTGAAAATCCAAATCAATGGTCTAAATTATAATTTTTATTAAATTTATAATTATTTTATTATTTGATTATGCATAGTGACTTAATGTATGAATTTCATAAATT